AGCCATACCTTTAAACAGTGCACCATGCTCGAGAACCACCTTGTTTTTCCTGGATTCTCTGTCCCTTTAAAACCAACTCGCGCCCGAAAGAGCCGCAGTGCGTCGGCCATCACCTTGTAAAATTTTTAATTTATATCTAGCTGCCTCCCAATTTATTTTTTGGACCCCTTCAAACCTGGTATCTCTTTTATGTTGCCTAATTCCAAAGCGACTTGAATTGGTATCTATATTGTTCATTACTGCGACTGCTTTCTCCTTTCCTGCTCAAAATTGCTATAAAAACCGAGTTACAATAGATTTTTTTTCAGCGATTATGCCCCCGGTTGCCTTCGATCAGGGCTCCCCGGGGCGGCTGGTATCATTTCTGTTTGAGGGAGATGAAACGGTTTCTTGCGAGGTAAGTGAAGTGTGCCTTGAGTTCCATGCGATTCTAATCAGAGTTTTCTAGCTCATGTTCATCTCCGTTTTTCAGGTGTGCTTCGAAGCCTTTCAGCCCATCCAACGACCCCCGAAAATCCTGCCCTGCGGCCATAACTTTTGCTCGCAGTGCCTGTTCAGTATTTGCTGTCACCAGGAGGTATGAAAATTTGCATAAAGAAGAAAACGAATGGTTATGTTCATAGGAAATTCCAATTAATTGGGCCAATATTTTCTTTAATTCCTTTCCAGGGTTTTAATGCTCTTTAAAAGGTGTCGAGATACAGAAGCCTCCGAATTAAGGCTGTCTGTTGCTTTCCGACGCCCAAATTTGGTTACACCCGAATTTGCATAATCGGAATTTTATGGGGAACGCGGGGAGCTGACGCTAATTTGATGTTTTTATTGGGCTCCCGGGGGCTTCCTAAAGGGAACAGACAGAGCGCAGCCGGAGCAATGAATCAATCCCTGTAAAAAATCTTAAAGTTAAAAGATAATGAAAACTTCCAAATCCAAAAAAACTGAAACTATGAGCTGGCAAGTATTTTTCATGACATTTTAGCGTATAAGAAAAACACAAAAACAATTTACAGTACTACCTGCTTGATTCGATCAAATGTCCGACGTGTCGACGGCAATTCTCGACGACAACGGCAAAAAACGCGCCTACTAATTATGATCTTTGTAGTAAGTATTTGCTGTATTTGGTGATTTAGAGATTAGATAAAACTCAACCAAAATTCGTCGATAATTTGCATATTTTTAGAAATCCTGGAAAGCGTCAAGAAAGGCCGTGAGGTGAACAACGTGACCGTAATCCACGTCAGCGGGACGGAGGAGCCGAAAACCCCGAAAACATCGAAGAGTGATAAAAAGAAAAAGACGTGGAAGAGCACAGATTTGGATCGGGAGAGGAGGCATCGAGAAGAGGTGAGAAATTTACTAAAAATTAGCATAAATTGAATTTTTTTGAGTAGTTAAAAACCTCGAAAAATTACAAATCACAAAAAGGCCAGTTAAAACGCCGGCAAAACACCGTTTCTCGAAAACTATTGAAATTAATTACATAATTAGAATCTTAAGACCAAAAAATTTGGCTGCAGTGGGCCATTAAAAAATATTTAAACGTACATTTAAAAAAAGACAAACTGTTATTTTCCAGATACAATTCCTCGCTCCAGATGTGAAGCGATTGGCTGGTGGCTCGAAGAGGGAAAAAGTGGCTGTGAAAAGGTATGCAAATTATCAGGAATATGGTGTCTAAAGGCCCTTTCCAGATGCCAAGACTGCAAGCGAAAAGTTACCGCAAAAAACCTGGAGAAACTGGCACGATACTGCGAGGAGTGCTCGACTTCGGCAAGCGTGGTAGGTTACCTTATAATATGCCAAATATTTGCTTTCCTTAACATAAAATTTAACTTTAACGAAATTCAAACTTACCATAAAGAATAACATTTTTTTTCAGAACTTCTCATGCCTGGAATGTTGTGTGAATTTGCACAACGGTCATCACCTCTTCTCGGTGCAGCAAATGTGCTCCATCAAGCAGCAGGTAAGCTTGCGCACGATCCATTAGTTATATAACTCAGCAAGACATGTATGCAGACGTAAATGCGTATATTAGGTGCTCGATGAGGTCCGAGAAATCCGGAGCAAGACCGTCGATGCCGGAGAAAGATTTGATCGGAGGCTTTCTGAGCTGCGATCGGCTGGTGCTCCAATTGATTCTCCCTCAACTTGTTGCTGCGAAACAAGTAAGAGTCTCTCTCGTCTTTCTCTCTCTCTCTCTCTCTCTCTCTCTCTCTCCTCGCTGACTACTCCCTGCTTTTCAGAATTGCATGAACGAAGCCCTCGCCCAACTCGATGCCACAATCCGAAAGCTCGAGGCCAAGCGACTTCTCCCCACGACGCTTCTCAAGTGCATACGGTAGGAAAATAAAAGACAAAAAAATTCATTTATCGATTCTTTAAGAGAAGCACAGTAATCCCACTACACCAAAGTCTCCCAGCTCAGTGCGAGGCTGGAAAAAGCGGTCATCATTCCCCAGAATCATGACAGCCCGATGCACGCGACGAAGGCTTGTGATCGTGAGTGTTTCATAATAAAAATATGCTAATAAATTGATTAATACGACTGGTTTCGCGCATTAATTAATGGAATAGAAAAATTTCTAAGTGAATTTTCCAGGCTTCTCCTCCTCCTTCTGCTCCACAGCCACCACCACCTCCCGAATCCGCCAGCAAAGGCTGACCGTGCGTGGGGACGATTCTCTGGCTAGAGAAGCCCTGCACGCCATCGTTTCCGTACTGCCTCAAAATGAGAAATCGGCGCAGTTGGCTGAGGTAAAGAACTACTCTCCCCGTCTCTCTCGCCCCCTCTCTCTGACTCTCTCTCCCCCAAAAACCTGAATCATTGTCAAAACACAGATTTTTTAGATCCTGATGCGCTTCACCCCAAAGGATACGGTAGAACAACGGAAGCAGCTGTATCTGAACGCCGCGAAATTGATCGTTCAGTTCCTTTACGAGTGAGTAGCTACAGTAATTCTCTCTCTCTCTCTCCCTCTCTCTCTCTTTTTTTTTTTGCTCTCTCTCACTCTCTTTCTCTCTCGCTCTTTCTCTGAATTATCATTTATTTTCCAGAGACCGCGACCTCCCCGCCCTGGAGATGTTCAAGGACTTCTTCCTGAACGCCTTCTATCAGTTGCACGTCCTCAGCCGGAAGAAGAACGAGTTCGGCACGGAGACAAAGAAAATCAGCCGCTCCCAGATCTGGAAGAGCGTCCAGTTCTGCTACAACGAGCTCCTGAAGGTGGCGTCAAAGGTAGTTTATCGGCAAAGGTCGAAGATTCCCAGAAAATTTAGAAATTCCCGGCCTCTCACCCGGAACGCATTGATGTCATCGACGACTTGGCATATCTTTGCCATTTGTTTGCGGACGTTTGTGATCAGGTTAGTGTTTTTTATTTTAAAGGGGCTGGTAAGCCTTAAATGCACCCCTCGGGGAGGCTAGGTCTAACAGCTACGCGGAAAGACAAAACACGCCTTTCGGGCGGAGAACTTCGACATCTTGCAACAGAACGTATTTTAACGCTATTCAAACCTAGTGGACCGGGGTGTCGCCGTCCCTTTAAAAGCTCAAAATTGGCGCTACAATTAAATTCTGATTTCAGAGTACCGTAACCGTCTGTATGATCGAAGCAGCAAGAGCACGAGCATCGGATAGCTTTCTGGATGAGACGCAAAGGAATTTGGCGGACGAGAGATTGCAGGTGAGTGAGGATGAGGGAGAGAGAGAATGAGCTACTGAGAGAGGGCGAGAGAATGAGCGACAGAGAGACATAGAGACAGTGAGAGATTGAGAGAGAGAGTGAGAGAGAGTGAAAGAGAGAGAGAGAGAGAGAGAATTAGAGAGAGAAAGAGAGCGAGAGACTGAGAGAGAACGAGAGAGCTATAGAGAGAAGGAGAGAAAATTGCTATATGATTTGCATAATTCTTCTCTTTTAGCAAATCGACGACCATCTCCTCGACTGCCGAAAAGCTCAAAAGCTCCAACAGCTTCGATCCACCAAGCAAAAGTCGGGACTCAAATCCCTGTTTTCTTGTCTCCGCTCGACGGCTACTGCTTGAAGCAACCCGTGCACGCTTCTTTGTGATTATTCAGTCAATTTCCTTATATTCTTTTCGATCTGTGGTAGTGGGTAGTTCAGAAGGATAAACATTTTTTAAGTAAGTGCGCCTCTTACTTGTTTGAACCTTTTCTAGTGCGCATTGAGAAATCGTTAGTGGCTTACAAACATTTATTTTACAAAAACTTTAGAAAAATGCTATGCAAAAACGAAAAAAAAGAAAAAAGACTGACCAGACGCTGCTTAAATCCAAGCCCATCCCAACTCGTTGTTGTATTTTGAGGAATTTGGGATTGAACGATTTTGGGGTGGGCTTGAATTACAGCAGGTCGGCGGGATGATTTAAAACAGCAAGACTGGCAGTAATTATGCCAATTTAAGGCAAAATTAAGGAAAGCGGAAAAAGGCATTTTTTCAGATGGGCGTGAAAAATCTGAAATTCGAATCGGCCTGAAAAATAAAACATAACAAAAGCGGGGTTTTATTGCTCCTAGCCTTGTCTAAATCCAAGCCCAACCCAACCTGTAGTTTGCAGTTGGTAAGATGAGTTGAAATTTAGGATTGAAAACATTTGGGGTGGGCTTGGATTCGAGGCGGCTAGGCAAAAACCATTCGGTTGGTGACCGGAAGGGTGAAGATATGGAAAAATACGGGATTTAAGGGGTTAAGACGAGTTTTTGGGTAGTGAAAATTGAGGGTTACGGTACTGTACAAATTACGCCACGGACACAAGCGCAGTTTTTAATCAATTTTCCAAAATTATGGCCGGTTAATAGAGTACGGTACAGTTCACTACAGGTACTCAAAACGATTTTTACTGCCAAATTTGAGGCCTTTCTAATTCATAACTGGGCTCGTAAAACCCCTGGAAAAAATTTTAATTTTCTACAGTACCGTAACCCTCAATTTTCCAGCAAGTTTCTCAATTAAGATTTTTCGGAGGCTGATGATCTACAGAAAGTTCTCAAACTTCTGCGTGATGGCCCCATAGAAATCCTCCGAGAACTTGACGATAACCCCCAAAATGACAATGTCCATGGCAAAGATGATCGGGAACCAATAGTACAAGAACATCTGCGGGAACCACATCATCATGAGGGTGAAGAAGATGTAGGGGATGAGGTCAACCATGACGAAAGAGAAGATGATGTACAAGAACTGCATCAGCCAGGCCGGCATGATGGAGGGGGACGGGGAGAACTTGTCCAAGAACGCGGTGAAACAGGACACGAAGAAGTAGCCGAGCATTCCGGTGAGGAGGTGGTGCTGGCCGATGAGACCCTCGAGGCCGGGGGATGTGGAGCTGCGAGTTGGTGACGTTCGGGCCGAAGAAGAGGGCACAGCTGAAGACGATGAAGGCGATGCGGGTGCACTGAAGTGCGGATTGTTGAAAAGAGAGAAATAGAGAAAGCGAGAGGCAGCGAGAGAAAGAGAGAGAGAGGGAGAGAGAGGGAGAGAGACAGTGAGAGATAGAGAGTAAGGGAGACCGCGAGCTAAAGCTGTACCGAGTGAGAGACAGACGGCGAGAGGGAGAGCTAAAGCGATAGCTAGATGGGGAGAGAGACAAAGGGAGCGAGAGACAGCGAGAGAGAGTGAGAGAGCGAGAGAAAGAGAGCGAGGGAGAGACAGAAAGAGAGCGAGAGAGAGAAAAAGCGAGAGACAGTGAGATTTAGAGAGCAATAGAGACCGCGAGCTAAAGCTGGACCGAGTAAGAACCAGACATCGAGAGGGAGCGCTAAAGCGATAGCTAGATGGAGAGAGAAAAGGAGTGAGAGAGAGACAGAGAGAGATAGCAAGAAAGTGGCCAGTTGTTCATCTACCAACCTGCGGGGACTGAAAATCGGCGCTGCAGCGGACGGCGACGAGGAAGGCGGGGAGGAGGAAGCGGATGTAGTGGCAGACAAGGGCAATGCAGTCGCCGATCGTGATCAGCGTCTTCAGCCAGCCTTCCGTCACCAAGTCGTTGGTGATCGCCAGATGGTGAGCCGAGTGATGGGTTTCGGAGGCGGTCAACTAAATTTTGGATCAAGGTCGCCGGGTAGCTTACAGATTTTTCTCTCGCCTCTCTCTCTCTCTCTCTCTCTCTCTCTCGCTTTCCGTCTCTTGCATAAAGATACAGACAGAACCTCTTGAAACTCACGATGCTAGCGGCCACGAGGCAGACATAGATGAGGTAGTAGCGTGTCCAGTTGACGGCAATGTCGTGGCCAATTTCTGAAAATGAGTTATAAATTTGGTTTGATGATCCCTTTATGGAAAAGCAAGCGGGTTGCGAGAGAAAGAGAGAGAGATAGAGAGAGGCGAGTGAGAGAGAGCGAGAGAGAGGAAGAGCGAGAGAGTGAGAGAGGGAGAGAAAGAGAGAGAGAGGGAGAGAAAGAGAGAGAGAGAGAGAGAGAGAGAGAGAGAGAGAGAGAGAGAGAGAGAGAGAGAGAGAGAGAGAGAGAGAGAGCGAGAGAGAGAGAAAGAGAGAGAGTGATCGACTTACCGTGAATGATGCGCCTAGCAAGGGTTCGCTTGCTGATGCTGCGCTCCGGGGGCGCGGGCAGCACGTTGAGCTCGAGCTCACTCATGGTAGGACGAACCATCCTGAAAAAAGAAGACCATCGTGGACTTTAAGCAGAAGCATCAACAGCTTTAAACTCGAAAATAAGAGGACTGATTCCAAAAATTTGACTATGACTGTAAATTGGAAAGTAAAGTAATCTTCTAAACGTTCAAGCTTTTCGCTAGCTAGCAGTGTTTTCGAAAATACTTACAATGTTCGAAAGTTAACTCAATGTACATATAGTAATTATTGTATCCGGACATTAGAGAAAATGTTCAAGTTTTGGCGGATAAACTTTGGGGACTGACTGGGGGCCGGGCAGGCACCCGGGTGGTGGCAACATGTGGCGCGCTACCGTAACCGAAAGTTTTAGTAGATACGCCCCCTGGCTGCCCCCTCTCATTCGCTCTCTTTCTCTCTCTCTCTCTCTCTCTCTCTCTCCTTTGACTATCTCTCTCGTTCTCTCTCTTCTCTCTCCTTTGGCTATCTCTTTCCTTCTCTCTCTCGCTCTCGCTTTCTCCTTTGACTATCTCTCTCTCTCTCTCTCTTTCTCTCTCTCACTCTCTCTCTCGCTCTGTACCTCAATATCTCTCGCTATCCATCTTGCTATCTAATTTTCGTAAGGTTTTCGAAAATTTTACTCCGCCCGGTGGCAAAAGGAACCCGGCTTGGCAAGTCAGCTGCAGGAAAGCCCCGAAGCAAGCTAGCAGAGAAAATTGGAGAAATTTATGAAAATAAGGCGTAAGGACTTTAACAAGGAACAAAGGTTAGGCATACCAGCAGAGATCATTGTGGAAGAAGGGCAATGTGGTCATTCAGGCTTGAAGCAGCGGGGCGTGCTAGCAGAGACGCAGAAGAAAACTTTGAGAGCTCGCGAATTCTGCTAAAGTAAATCCCACCGCAGTGCAAGGTCGCAGAATCCTTTCAGGAACGCGGCAATTGACTGGAAAATCGATGATTGTAGATCCTAGCGAAGACCATTTGGCGAATGGACGAAGCCAGTAATACTGCCTTATGTGGCGAATGTCTCGAAGAAAATAAATTCGAGATTTTTGAAGAAGAAGTTGATTGAAGTCTTCAAGACCAAAACTAACATACTAAAGTACGCGTTTCGAACCTTTGGAAATTTGGTAAATAAATTTTTTTCCGCTTTTTATAGACGCCCGATTCGACTGGATGGGAAAAAGCCAAAGAGCCGCTGATTTCCCAGATTTGTAGAGATGAGTCATCTATGTTGATCCAAGTCGGATAGCCAATAAAAACAGTCTAACCGAGATTTTCTCTACGATAAACGCAAAAAACAACATCTGGCTGGGTATTTTTGGCGTTAGTCGGTTCGTAATGAGTTTGTTTATGCAAATCTGAGGGTCTCAAAGGGCATGCCGGCAGAGACCATTTGGGACGAGTGACCCAAGTCTAAAAACATGGGCAAATCTGGGTCTGTCAAAGGGAATGCGGGCGGAGATCATTGGAGTCAAAGCTGGGCCAAAAAAAAACATGTGGCAAATTCCTCGATTTGCCTTATGACGGCCGGGGTCAATCGGGCCAGTCGACTACCGGTCCGCTTTGATTAATGGCGATGTGTCGGATGTGGGAATGTTTATGTAAAGTGGGTATCGCGGCGCGGCTTTTTGGCGCGATATTGCTAGCCGCAACATCTGGCACTAACTGGTGTCGGCGACAAATCGTTTGCCGCACGCCTGACCCTAGGAAGTCGAGGAAAGGTACCGTAACCACGATTTTTGAGCGGTCGTGGACGAAAATAGCCTAGACAAGAGCTTTGGGAGGCAACGTCTGAGATGCTTGGGTTTCAAGGTATTGCGTGGCAATATAATGCTTGAATTTGAGATTTTGTTCAGCTCTAGTACTCGATTTAAAGGACGTGTAAAGCATAACTCGGTATTTCTATTGATATGATTTCAAAACTGAATTTGCTGCACTTAACAAAGGGTTTTTTATTCAGTTTTCAAATAGCATTTTCATTTCCCCGGAACCAGCCGGCGGGCTCGAATTTCGAACTTTCACAAACTTCTGCATCTCACTTCTTCTCCCTAGTTCCGGAATTTTTTGAGCTTTTTGGACCCTGGTGCCTTCCGGAAGTGTAAATTTCTCAGAAGTTTTCGAGTTCATTAGCACCCAACGGATTCCCAGGCCTTATGTCTAGTACGAACTACTGCCTGATCTTTGGGCCCGGTGGGCCGCGGCTACAGTAGGCCAGAAACGAGCCCAATGGCTTCTCACAAAGCTTGTGAATTCACGTGTCCCGGACGGTTTTGGGCCTCCCCGTGGTCTCCCGCAACTGTCGGTGCCTAACCGCAAGCTTCCGGAAAATTGACGTGAACCCGGAATTTCCAGACTACCTTGAAAATCTGGCTGTTCCCTTGCTCACAACCACAGGAAAATCAGGAACTACGAGGAAGAACGGTGGCTAAAACAAGTTTCGTTCCGTGAAATATGGCTTCTCAATCACTACGAAATAAGGATTTCGATCAGTAATGTAAACGGAGTATCTATTTGTATTTTAAATTAATCGATACCATAATACAGTAAGCCTGCGGGTTTATTCAAATTACTGGACTCCTTAAAACATGGAATTAATATGAATGGTGCCGTTGCTGTGCTTCTCTTTTGTTGTCGAGTGCGTCGAATGGTCGTAGATCCTCGTACGGGCAAATTTCTTCCAGAAAATGACGATCTCGACCACGCGCTTGCGATACGGTAGCAGGTAGTAGATAGTGATTGCTGGGCTGAAGGCGCTGACCTAGAAAAAAATTGCTGACATCAAGCCGATTTTTAAGTTTTTAAAGCCGTTTCAGACGCACCATAGCCAGCAGTAAAAATGGAGCCTCCTCGAAGTACGGTGCTTTGTCGCCAAACCTAAAACAAATCGATATTTTTTCGTGTTTTTTTTAGCTTACGGTAGCTGGAATTGACGCCAGAAATACACCGAGCATTGGCTCATCATCACGACCGGAAGTACGGCTTGGATTGTCAGGGCCTGAAAAATCGCTCGTTTTCTCTTTCTCTCTGCCACTCTCTCTCTATCGCTCTCTCGACCTCTCTCTCTCTATTTCTCTAGCTCTCTCCCACCTTGATCAAATCGTGCTGCGCCCGCTTCGTACTATTGCTCATCGCCGACGTGTTATCATTAAGAATATGCATAATTTTGGTGCGAGAATAAATCGATAGACAATATCCCGGAAAAACCGGAAACAAGATCCAAACAATCAGGACCATCGTGCTAAAATTAGAAAAAGCCTTATGGAGAGCGTAAAATACATACGTTCCCTGAAAAATACTCTCGTAGCCGAGCATAGCTGCGATATTGGGATCATCGGGGAACAGGGAAATATTTCTGCCAGAAACCAGAAGTTCCCGTGTGGCTTCCGTAGTGCTAGTCGAGGCAGCAAAAGTGATCTGCAAAATTTCGAACTTAAAGGTGGTAGGACGCGCGAGAATGTCGAGACCTAGTAGACTGAAAGGGGTCGATTTTGGAAATTCGATGTCCCGTTAAACGAAAATAAAACCCTACCACCGACACTAAAGAAGGAATGTAGAAAACGCAACACAACAACGCGATCCGCCAGGCTTTCGGGGTGTGTTTTGTCAGGACGTAGTGACGGTACCTATAAGGAATTTGGCATCGAAATTTTACATAGATTAAGGGGCGTATGCGTTGTCTTAACGTGCGGATAAACTTGCCAGAACGAGACAAAAACAGTGAATAATTGTAGCTAGCACTTCCGGCGGTAATGGCGTGCACTAAACTTGGATGGTTTTACGAATCCTGTTAAGAATACTGGGTTTTTAACGAATTAGTAAGCATATATTAGACTTACTATTCATACAAAATTGAGGTGATATCTTGCGGCATACCCCATGAAATTGATAGGCGAGGCCCCAGCCGATCGGGATGCACCTAGAGTGGCATATTTTTGATGCACAACTTAAAATTGAGCAAAAATCGCTCAAATACGATTCAGAAGACGTATCGAAATTCGGAAAAAAAATAATTACCTCGTCATCGCAATTCCAGCACTCAAACCGAGTAGAAATTCGGAAAGCGCGAGACTGAAAAAGTGTATTTAAATTTTTTTAAATCTTAATTTTTTAGTTTTTGGTCCTCAAATTTCATAATAACCATAAATCCCATTATGCAAATTTCCTCACCTTCCCAAAATCACAGAGTACGATCGGAATGATTGGCTGGTATGGAAAATAATTAAATACAGCAATGTGCCGTTAAAAACAACGGAAAATACGTCACTAACGGAATGCAGAGTAGTGAAGAGGTCGGCTCGGAATTGGGTGAATGGGAGATCGGACCAATGCTGTAAAAAAAGATATTCAATCCTACAATTTTTCGAATTACTGCAATATTTATGACACAGGAAATTTAATAACTGGTACATACCGGAGCCATTGGTGTAGTAGCCTCCAACCGAAGGACGAATTGCTAGTTTTTGATATAGCGAATACGAGGAGAGAACAGTTTTTTAGCTCGTTGACACCGGAGGTATCGCTTCGTAGCCCTACAACCTAGGTCGTACAAATCACGCAATCTGAATGAAAACCTTGACCCTGATTTATAAACTCTCGAAAAACTCTCAGGATCTCGGTTTCCGAGTATCACCAGGGATCCAGAACTCTGTGGCCAGATTCTCACAAAAATTAGAATCCCACCTGGAGCGGATCTCTTTGGCGAGTGTTGCCGAATTTCGTGTACCATGGGACGAGGCTTTACGATTTCAGGGAAATGAGCAACGAACGGATTGGTTGGGGACGAGAAAGAGATAGAAAAAGAGAGAGTTAGAGAAAGAGAAAAAGCGCCAACGAGAGAGAGAGAGAGAAAGAGAGAGAGAGAGAGAGAGAAAGGGATGGCCGCAGGTCTTCACAAAAACTAGCTTTGTAACGACAAATTTGGTACTCGGCTGCAAATTTTCGTTTTTAACGGGTTGGAAGGAGCGAGCCGTGAGAGGCGAGAGAGAGTGAAACAAAGTGTGTGAGAGAAAAAATAAGTAAAATTTGGATTTGATTGAATCATAAGTTCTGCTGAATCTATTGCGTAGTAGCCATCATCCATGCAAAATTTTGCTGTCGAAGCCAGTTTAGTAATGACCAGGGTTGGTCATTTTCGGATCGGACTGGATCCGGATCTGGATCTGGATCGGATCCGGATCCAGATCAAGGGCGGATCCGATCCGATCCGGATCCAAGGAAATTGATCATGCAACCGAGTTAAGTGCTAATTCTTAGATGCAAAGATCAGTTCTGCTTCTGGGCTATGTATTTTTGCGATTAACATGACCGAATCCGCATCAGAATCGAGAATATTACTTCCGGCCCGTTTTTTCCTCGGATCCGCATTGGATCCGGATCCGAGCGGATCCGGATCTGGATCTGGATCCGGATCCTACTGCGGATCCGATCCGGATCCGGATCCAGATCCGATCCGGATCCTTGTCGATCCGGGTCCGTCGGTGAACAACCCTGGTAATGACCATGCTTTTTCTGGCACAATAGCTTTTCCAGCCTAACCAGAAAAACAAGCAATTATTGCGAAATTTTTTGCCGATTTTCCGTTCAAATCCGAGGCTTAGATACTGCGTTTTTACAAATTTCCTTTTTGATTGCTTCTGGTTAGATCCAACCAAGAAACCGTAACTTTATTCACAAGACAAATCCGATATTTCTATATACCAACCGTTTAGTACATAGAATTAAGAAACATATAGTATTGAACTCAAAACATGGATTGTATGTGAAAAGTTCCCTCTCCCATCGAATCTTTGGTATTCGACAGGTTGTTAACGTCGTAGAGCTGCACTTTGGCCGATGATCGTCTCCAGAAACCAATCATTTCCACGACACGCCGTCGGTACGGTAGTACGTAATACATGGTAATTACGGGGTTACAGGCGCTGACCTAAAACAAGCGAATTCACAGAATTCTTGCATTTCAGGCATTTTAAGGAAATTATAGTACGTGCTGAATTCTTCATTAAACGCTGCTAGCTGGCCTTGATTTTTAGAAAGCCTAAAACTTGAATTTGACCTGTGTCAATAGCCGATTCTTCCTATTTCCAGGCCCAAGAGAGCTTTAACTTTAAAAAAGAATGTTGCTAGCATCCCCGAAATTTAATACAAGTTTCTAGCATCGCATCAGCTGCGCGGAATTTTATTTTTCACGAAAATCGAGCCCTACCATGGCCAGCAGCAAAAATGGCGCTTCCTCGAAGTATGGCGCTTTTTCACCGTATCTGAAAAGGTTGCATTATTTTCCAAATTACACGTTTAGCTTACGGTAGCTGGAATTGGCGCCAGAAGAACATGGAACATTGGCTCATCATGGCGATTGGGAGTATCGCTTGGATCGTTAGGGCCTAACAACATTTTTGTTTATCTCTCTCGCCTCTCTCTCTCTGTGTGTCTCTCTTTCCCCCTCTCGCCGTCTCTCTCTTGCTCTCTCTCTCTCTATCTCTCACTATCTCTCTCGCTCTCTCTCTCTCCCTCTCTCTCTCTCTCTCTCTCTCTCTCTCTCTCTGATTCACCTTTATCAAATCCCGCTGCGCCCGTTTCGTGCTGTTGCTCATGGCTACGTTCTCATTCAAAATCTTCAGAATTTGGGTACGGTAGTAGATAGATAAACAGTATCCTGGGAAGACCGGAAACAATATCCAGGCGATCAGGAGAATGGCGCTGGAAGAAATAAACTCTTTAGCGTCCTTCGCTTTGTCGATGACGCAAAAAAAACTTGCGAAACTCTTACGTTTTCTGGAAAATACTTTCGTATCCAATGATCGCCGCGATTTTAGGATCATCCGGGTATAGAGAAATATTTCTTCTTGAATACAAAATATCACGAGTGACTTTAGAATCGCTGGTAGAAGAGGCGAAGGTTATCTGAAGCAAAAATTGAGGACAATATCAAGTAATTTATACAATTTCGAGGTTAAATATAGAAAATACAATAAAAATCACTTATAATAGTCTTACCATCGAAATTAGAGTAGGGATGAAGAAAATAAAACATAAAAGACCGATTTTCCAAGCTTTCGGCGTACTCTTAACAAGGACGTGATACCGATACCAGAAAGAGACAAATAGGAGTGAATAATTGTAGCAGGCGCATCCGGCTGTGATGGAATGGACTGAAAAAAAGCTCAAAGTAATCCATTAACGATGCACTAATAGTCTGCTCACCATTCATGCACATTTGAGGGGATATTTCGCGGCACAACCCGTGAAATTGGTAAGCCAGGCTCCAGCCAATCGGGATGCACCTGAAAAAGCAATTAAAGAGTGCTAGGACAGGTATTTTCGAAGGCAATTTGTCTAGAAATAAAACTATTTTATGTGCATTTAAAATATCCTACTCACCTGGTCATCGCCAACCCAGCGGACAAGCCAAGGAAGAACTCGGAGAGTGTTAAACTGAAACAGAGCGTTACGAGTTATTAAAATTTAGTGACAATCAGTTGAATGTTCTAAATTTCAATGGTTCAGAAGTGGATTTTTTTAAGTTTTTTAAATCGCTAAAAAAATCCTACCTCCCCAATATCACCGAGTAGGACCGAAAAGATTTGCTGGTGTGGAAGATGATCAAATATAGCAGCAACCCATTGAAAAATACAGACAACACGTCGTTCAACGAGTGCAGCGTCGTGTACAGATCCGCGCGAAATTGTGTGAACTGGAGCTCCATCGTTTCTACAAAAATGTTTGGTTTTGAATTTCAAAGACCTATGAGAAAATTCCGAAAAAATACTGGAGATACTACTAGGGCATAAACAATGAAAAACCCGAGCTTCGAATAATTTTTTCAGCATTCTTTTGCCGCTTCCTGAAAGCTATTGTCGGGTCAGAACTGCCAAAACCGATGTCTGGATCTGAATCCAGATTTCTCGAATTCATACGTATAAAATTCTGCTTAATTGGTAAAAAACACCGTGAAGCCGTTGTGACCACCTACATGGCGGCAGACAGGTGAATTTAAAGCTTTTTTATTATCTATATCACGGAAACAACACCTTTGAACTTCCGAGGGCCGATGAAAAAGCAATTTGACGCTTCTGGCCACCTACAGTCTGGTTTGGAAGAGAAACAAAATAAGTCAACCATCCTTTAATAAAAATGCTTTTTAAGCTCCTGTGCGCCGCTAGACTCGAAAAATACTGATTTTGAACTACGACAAGACGAAGCAAAATACTTTTTGCAGCCCAGTCCGGTCCTACAGTTCTTCGAGCAAGTGGAAACGATTTTTAAAGAACCTCCTTAGCAGTGCCGTACGGCATCAAAAATCAGAATCATCCTTAAAAAGCGTACTTATCGAAACAGAAAGAATTTTAGGCATGAAAGCTTTTTTTTTTGTTTCCGTTCGTTTGTGCTTTAATTCAAAATCTTTGGGAAGTTATGGTGATTTCATTTCTGTTCGCCGCAAGAAATAGTTCCATTTACCTCCAAAGCACACTACCCAATCTTTGATCATCGAAAAGAATATAATAACTTGGTAATTATTCTGAAGTCCGATCGGGGCCAGGCCATAGATATCTGGATGAAATGGGCGGAACACTCTGGGCTGATTAACGGGTTTACGCCCTAACGGCCTATCCTCTACCCAGAATATCCGGCCGAATAGAATATTCGATTTTAATGCTTCTCCCGAAAAAATACGTAACACGCGGAAATGGATTCCGCGATTAATGTGGGGCGGTGGGCAGGTGGTAGAAATTTGGGATAAATTGGAGAAGCATCGGATGACTAGATTTTAGGGGTAGGCATAATACCATGCGGAAATTAAAGGGCACGTTCAGGAGCTTTTTTTTGGAAAAAGCAAAGATTTTTGCCGCGGCCGGGGGTCGAACCGGGGACCCCCGCTCGGCAGGCGCGGATGGATACCAGTCAGCCACAGCAAGTACCTGGCGAGGGGCTGAGGGGCGCCCCACCCTGCAAAGGAGGGAAATTGCCTCCCACGACAAGGGCAGGCAGTGCGCGCGGTCCCTACGTCCATAGGGTGTACACGTTAGGACGAGTACATGGCCCCTCCCTGAACGTGCGCTTTAACAACCTTAGCCTAAGTTAGTTAAGCCTTAGCTAAGCCTTGTTTCCAATGTCTAGCCACCGTTGGCGAAACTGTCACAAAGTAGAGTGTGAACCTGACGCTCTAAATTTGCTGGAAATCAGAAAAATTGGTGTATTGTGCAGGGCGCGTTCTACAAAACCTAGCGCACTTTTGGAATAGCCCGATGTACATGAATTTTTGTGTAATTTGGTGTATTCAGTCGCATTTCTGAAGGTGCATGTCTTATTGTGTCGCGATTGCTTTCCCCCCGGATTCCCCCTACGGAATTCGAGGCCGAGAATTCGGGCCCAGAGATTGCGTAAATACCGCTCTAAGTTCATTGCTCGCGTAGAATTGGTAAACAGCAACCGCTTACGCAATGAAAAATAGGTACATAAAGGCGCTTCGCAAGAGCCAAAATCGCCAGCCCGCGAAAATTTTGTAAGGCTACTAAGAGCACGGTTTCCACCTCCCTGCCCCTTCAAACTTTAAGAACGTAAAAATTTAGGTGGAAGATGTCTAAAACTTCAAGTTTAGCGTCCTCTAAAAGGACGTTTTCTGATTAAGGCGATGTTTGTGCTGTGCTCTACCCATTCATCGCTGTCTGTTTGGTCAAGCGCATTCATCGAATTCCGGGTTCTGGGCGGCTTAATTGGGTTTTTGGGCCCGGTGACCAACGACGAGGACGTTGGCCTCAAGTGGCAGTCAAACGAAAAAACGTGGGGTGATGTATGAGTCGGTCACTGGATTTTTTACGACATATTTCGTGGGAATCTCACAAAACTGATTAATTAGGCCATAAAAGATATTGAACAGCGCCGGAGAATCAGAGAGAAATAAAGTGAGTAAGAGAAAGAAAGGGAGAGAGAGCGAGAGAGCGAGAGAGAGCTGCAAAGTGTGGTCAAATACCAGAATTCCTGCGTTAATAAGGCCTTTATACCTTTCAAATCTCCACTTTTTGTAAAAACCAGACCTACCGCATCAAACCACAGCCACAAACTGATTCCGAGATCCAAAAATCCAGCAAATGAACTTCAAAAACAGCCGAAAATATTTTGAGCTTAGAATTTTTCTGATCGTCAGTCTCCCCATAACGTCCCAACTGATTTCAAAAAGCACAGCAAAAGCGACGAGGTCAAAAAGTGCTCTGAATCGCTCAGCATCCACGATGATACGGTCACTTTTTAGCAGTCCCCGGGGAGTTTGAGTAATTTTGGAGTTGTAGGGAAGATTTTGGAAAATACAGAATATTTTAAGAAAGCTAGCTGAACTATCAAAGAGCTAGAAATCTTAGCGATGTCGTTCTGAGCCAGTAACACTTTTCGGTCCCGAAAACAGGGTTTTTGAATTTTTCAATAATCGGGAACCTTAATGCATCAAAGTCTACGCTGATTAGCGTACTTGTAATGCCCAAAAATTTTGTGACGTGGTATGGAAAACAAATCATCTAGTCGACGTAGGATAGGGGCGGTAGGGAGCCACTAAACTAGATTGCTTTGAAATTCGGGATCTTCCGAACCACGATCAGATTTAGAAGTTCCAGAACAGGTCAAAAACATTCTCTAGCCTCACCACGAATTAAAGAACCCAACTCCATCCAATCTCGACCCCGGGAATCGCGGCAAATTGGTTCTTCCCAGCTCTTTTTCAGCTCGGATCAACCCGGAAGCTTGGTCCCTCCAGCTCGAAAAAGACAATGGAACGGCACTTAGGCATTCATGTCGCCGTTGGGGTAAGTATGTTTTAGTCCCAATGCTTGACCCCTAAGAGTTCTGGTGCCAAAAGGGCTTTCTTCCTTGTTTGTTTGCTTCTTCCTTCCTTAGATTGGTATAATAAAGTCAGAACGCAACACAGAAAGCAGCTCCGTGTCGATCCAAGTATTGACTGTCAATTAAAAAATGCCGGGAAAAACACCGACAAATAATTCATCCCTTTTCGATCGCTCAACAGTTTCTAATTTGACTGAGCAGCTACAGAAGCTCGAGAACTGGGTAGAAGAGAACTGGGAGCTGACTATCGCAGCTTTTAAATGTGCATTGCTACATTATGGCTCACGAAATCCTAGAGCTAATTATTCACTATGTGGAACAGCTTTGCCTGTCTCCACAACTATACCAGACCAGCCGCTTCCAGCGGTCGCCCCAAGCCCGGACCTCGGCTCCCTCGGGCCCTCCCTGGCCGAACCGCGCGACCTGGCTCCTATGTCCGAAATCGGGCAAACCTCCGTCCCCCTGCTTTTACTAAGGAAAAAACTTTCAAAGTTAATTTTAATAATTTAAATTAAAACTTTTTCATAATTTTTTTTTCAGTTTGGGGGTTTCTGACCATGCTCTATCCGAATCCGAAGGGCTAGCTCTAGCCCTCCCCCTTCGAGTTGAATCTGGGACATGACGCACAGACAGACAGACGGACAGACACCTCAAGAAAATTATTATAGTTGATTTAGGTGTCCTGCTCTCCACAAACTTCCGCTTTACTCCACATGTCCTCAGATTGTGCAGAAGGCTGCTCGGGTTGTTTACTTGATTTTTCGTATCTTTAAAAGTAGAATTCCTGCCCTTTACTTAAAAGCCTATATTACATATGCCAGACCAATTGTAGAGTATGCGTCCGTTATCTACTCTCCTTTTCTCCAAAAAAGATATAGTCCCTTAGAAAACCTGCAAAAGGATTTTCTTAAAAAAAATGTGTTACCGTTGTCGCTTGCCTTATTCATCCTACCCCTCAGCACTAAAAACTTATTCTTTGGAATCGCTGAGCGATAGGCGAATTAAATCGGACCTGTCATTTCTATTTAAACTTCATCGTCACCCCTCCAATATTTCTATTGCATCCTTCTTTAGCTCCATCCCCTCTAGAACCCGTGGCATGTCCCATAAACTTAGGCTCCTGCTCAAAGGAAAAACTTCCATTCACAAATCCTTTTTTAGTAACCGTGTATCTACCCTATGGAACTCGCTACCAAGTCATACAATTACTGGTCGCAATCATAAGACATTTAAACGCAGTCTCTTAAATTATATTCCGTCCAATTTTGTATTATCTTAATCTTCTAGTCACCCTCTTTTCTCTCTCCCCTCACCCACCTCCCCCCCCCCCACTTCATTTATCCTTCATTATTGACATTCCTACACCTGTAAGTTTGTTCATGTGTTGAACCTTGGTGTCAGAAATAAATAAATAAACAGAAAATAAATAAATAAAAACGCCGACAGTAACGGGAAATAAAAGCCCTGACGCTTTTTTAACTTGTCGGCATTCTCCCGAATAGAATTCCGCACACAAAAAAAAAACGAAAACTAAACTAAAAGAAGCCTTGACTTATTGGAATTTAGGCTTTCGGTATGCGCAAGCTCGAATGCCGTCAAGCACAAATAACTTAGAAACGAAGCATGCCGACAGTAGGTTAGGTAAATTAAATGAAAATAAAGCTTTCATGCATCGGAATTTTAACATGTCGGCATTCTTGCGCCCGTGCTCTTGAAAAAGAAAGCCGATATATTTTAGGTAAACGTCGTCTAAACTAAAGATTTGGGCTTGTCGGTAAGAAAATAACCTCTGCGGACCACCCGGATAGGGTATACAGGGTGTCCCAAAAAAAACCCCCCTCGGCATTTGGCCGTCTTCTATCGGATCGGGGCCAAATTTTTACCAGTGATGGGGACCCATAAAAACTATGTGCAGCCAAATTTTCTAAGCAACATATTGTAAAACCAAAAAGTTGTCGATAAAAAACTGATTTTTGGAAAACGCTGGTACTCGTTTTTGGCTATGTTTTCGCAATTAGCATGCGGATTTTGAGTAATTTTCCAAAAAATGGTCCTTTCTCGGTCAGTTTCTGGCAATTTCGATAATAAAAAGTGATCGAATTTAAACGTAATTTTCGTAAATCAAAAAATTTCTACAGGTAGAAAAGGGCGCCCTCTTCATTTTTGCTAAACATTTCGAGGCCGAAATCCGTCAAAATCCTAGTGAAATCGGCAAAATTAACCTTAATTTTGATATAACTTCTTTGTTTTACAAGATTTTGCTTAGAAAATTCGGCTGCGCATAGTTTTTATGGGTCCCCATCACTGGTAAAAATTTGGTCCCGATTGGATGGAAGACGGCCAAATGCCGAGGGGGGTTTTTTTTTTTGGGACACCCTGTATGGTGTTGTAAACCTTAAAAGAAACCGAGCATAAGCGCTTTGCTCGCTCCTTTCCTCTACCGAAATCTTTAAAAACCATCCCGACAGCCTGCCTATAGGAAACATACAAAATTGCTCGCGGCGGTAGGGCGGCGCCTGAATGTGATTACCGGCAAAAAGCCAAAATACCGATTTCCTGTGCTTTTTGCGAACCCGCGGGACGTTTGGGGCAAAAGAGCGTTCAGGTACAAAGCATGGGTTATACGTAATTTTTGAAAACCGATGCTCGTGTAGGGACCGAAAATGAACATGCAAATTCGGGATATTTTTTTAAATTTTGATAAGCGCATTGCAATGAAATTTTTGCAGGGTTTTTTTGTAGTACTTGCACCGTTTTACGTTTCTCAAGTGGTACCGTAATTGTGTATAGATCTTAAGCTTTAAAAAAAGTGTTTTACAAATATTTATCACCGCAATCACAGTAGGTTAGCTGGCTGCCAGCCTGAAGATCACATGGCAAAAATCACAGGATATCATATCTATCACGGGTTAATAAAATTATGACAACATCAGAAAATACAGTCGGGTAGCGGGATGAGGTTAGCTTACAATTAAATCGAGAAATCTAAATACAGCAACAAAAACAAAAATTAGAATAAAGACCGAATTTAATGAAAGGTTAGTTCGGGAATTTCGAAGGGCAAATCTAGAAGCCGCAGAATTAGCAAAAAGATCCGGAAATTACAACGAAACTCGAAGAACGCGACCTGGTAATGGATTAAGACATTTAAATCGAAAGGCCGTGTTTTGATATTGTACTAGTTAGTTGTCAGAAAAACGCAAATGAACGCCTGATATCAAAAAATTCGTTAAACTCCTTTGCGAAATTTACATCGATTTCTGAAGATTCAGTTGAGGCTAGAAGGTTAGCAAAAACAGGAAGACACGATACTCGATATCAAGAATACTTAGGTAGGAATCGGTTACGCCACAAAAATCGATCAAAAGGGTGAGAATTCAACTGTAAGACTAGACCTCAACCACCATCAGCATTCGAGTCGCGTCGTGTTGAGCAACTTCTTCAAATACAGCTGCATCAGTCGCTCAGGCCCTTCAGGGTTGTGCACTTGGCGAGCCTGCAGAAATAAAAATAAAATTTGTGGTTGAATTTAAATTCAAAATTAAAGCTGAAGCTCAGATCGGAAGCTCTGAGCTGACGCTCAAGCCGAAGCTCAAAACCAAGTCAAAAAGTGCAACTCACCACTCATCGACGTCCGGAAGATGCGCGTACTTGTCGACCGATTCGCCAGATTCGGAAGAAGCCGAAGAGCCGCAGGCTTCCTGACGCTGGTACTCCTCCAGCCGGTCGGTCACCATCGCCATGTCGCAGCGGTTGTTGGTTAGCTAAAAAATCAATAATATTTGATTGCAGAAAATTAGAAAAAGGCCATTAAAAATTAAAAATAGAATCCGATACGCAAAATTAGGATTTTCTAATCAACTACATCATGCTAGAACGGCAGGGAAGAGTAAAAAAAGATAAAAATATTCCAAAAACCGACCTTCTTCTCAACAGCGACAATCTTCGTCTTGAGCATCTTGCACATGTTGGTCGCCTTCAGCTTGTCCTCCGGCTTGACGGCCTTCTTCAGCAGCGCCTCCGCGGCCGCCTCGCTCTTGAGGCACCTGGCGAGCAGCTCGGACTGGACTTTCTCGGTGGTCTGCATCTCGGAGAGACTTGCCTGGAAATGACGGCGTTTTCGAGCAGTTCAAAATATTTTTATGACTTCGAATTGTATAAATTCAAAGCCTTAAAAATTAGTGTAAAACTGTTGAAAAATTAATGTTAAAATCTTTGTAATTTCAAAGTGTTAATAATAAAAACGTACCGACATCTCGGCGATCTTCTGCTGGAGCGTCTTCTTGACCTTGACGGGTTTCGCGGGTTGGACCTGGACCGGCTTCAGTGGCTTCGCGGGCTTCGTGACTTTGCCGGCAGGGTTCACGTACTTCATTTGGTCACGGGTGGCGATCTAAAAATGAATTTATTAGATTAGAAAATCACAAAACTCTTCATCATTTTCTCTTAAAAATTTGCATACAAAGTAATTCATACTCGTTATTGTTTTAAAGTTTTAATAGAGTTAGCTAATACCAAAATTAGCATAAGTTTAATAAAAAAGGCTTGATTTTGATGTTATAAAGGGGTCAAATTATACAAACAAACTGACCTTCTTGCCCTCCTGGGCGTGGTTGTAGCGGTACTTGGAGTTGCCGTACATCTTGTGTGGGGTGAGTCGAGTTGGTGAATGGGATGTTGATTTTAAAAGTGAGATACTTCGTGGAATTCCGGGTTTCTTTTATACCCTTTATCATCCCTACTACCAGATGTCCTGACGGGGGAAAGTGCCCGGGGTCACAGATTTTGCAGATGTGTGCAGACTATGGTGGTGGTTTTCTCGAAGAAAGCACTAATAGTGCACTGGCGCATTAATGGATAGAACTTGAATTTTTTTCGCGATTTTTGCAGATAAATTTTCAGATAAGTATTTATCTTGAATCAATATGCTTTTAACAAGAATAAAATACCTTAAAGCATTAAATTCCATTTTGTTTAAGTAAATAATTTGTCAAAATTTATTTTCGCGGTATTACTAATGATGTGTTGCGCATTAATAGGCATATTTAGGCATTTTTTTTCGAGATTTGTCAGGATCTTAGGAACGATCAATAATTCCAAAAACTGATTAAAAATGGATTCGTAACCTCGTAATATAATTAGACTAGCCATCGGGCTCTAAATTTCTGTTGACGAGCTGCTTCAGGAAGAAAATTCCAAGAAAAAGAAATTTTTCAATAAAAAATCAGAATGCTAAAAATCCATTTGTCGGCATTTGACTCTACTCAAATTAAATAAAAAATTAAAATTAACAAAAAATCTCAACTAGATAAAATGTCAACAAAATTTTCGACAAAATGTTTTTCGCTATGCTGATCGCAAGTCCATTCGAAACCACTTCTTATCGGTTTTATTATATCAACAAACTTTTTGAAATGATCATACTTTACAGAGAAAATTCTATGCAATTTTTTCATACATTTATTTCAGAAAAGCTCCTGCGTGGTCTGTAAGTTGGAGTCTCGCGTATGTGACAACGCCGTCTCGCCGTAGATCTTCGATTTTGGGTCGTTTTTCCGCTTCCAAAAAAACAGCAATCGCTGAACACGCTTACGGTAGGGCAGCACGTAGTAGATGATGATGCAGGGGTTGATCATGCTTGTCTAGAATGGATTTTGCGGATCGGAAATCGATTTTTTTACCAGCGCAACGAGTATGAACGCGTACTCCTCGAGGAAGAAGAGGTGGACGTGGCCACTGCAATATATAAAAATTATAAACAGTAAAAAAAGTAACTTACGGTAACCGGTACTGCATCCATAAAAACCCAGTAGAAAGACTCATCGTCAGGAGTGGAGTGACACTTTGAAGCGTTAGTGCCTGACCGTCACATCGATTTTAGGCAAACTTCCCAATTTTCTACCTTAACCAAATTCTTCTGCGCCCGCAGTGTCTTAGGGCTCATCGAGCTGTGAGCATGAAGTTTTCGGAGGATTCGACAGCGATAGAATATGGAAATGACGTAGCCAGGTGCGATTGGGGTACAGATCCACATTGTAATTACGAGGTTGCTAAACAATATCTTCATAGTGTCCATCTCTCTGGCTCTCTCGCGCGCTCGTTCTCTCTCTCTTTCTCTCTCTCTCACTCGCTCTCTCTTTCTCTCCTCTCTCTCTCTCTCTCCCTTTTTCTCTCACTTACTATGGCGACGTCATATCTTCGTATCCAATTATTGCCGCAATCTCCGGATCATCGGGCCACAGGGAGCTGTTTTTCTTCGTCGCAATAATTTTGTAAATCACTTCTGGCGGGCTTGTCCCAGACGCGAATCCGACCTAAATATCAAGCCCATCAAGACGCTGATTTTTGTGAATTACCAACACCAAAAACGCTGGAATGTAAGCGATAAGGCAATAGACGGCCAGCCGAGCTGGTTTTACAGGTCCAACGGTGAGTACTCGGTGCCGGTACCTACAAAAGAGGGATGTAATACACGCGGTATCGAAGTTACACCTTTTTGCTATTTTTATTGCTAGCCTGGTATAAGCCTTGTGAATCCAATCTTTGATCTTGGATTCAGCTACATGGACGTGATTTTTTTTGAAATGACTTACCAAAACGACAGCGGCAACATGATTTGAGCATAAGAATAGCAGTGCATGATCACGGAGTGCGCTAAATTTAATATGTTAAAGTGTAGGAGCATAACTTGCTCTTAAGCAATTTAGCGTACTTTTTTTATCTAGCTTAAGCGAATAGCGCAGGGCCAAAATCCTCCGTTATCATAACTTGGATCTAGATGGAAAGTTCAATTTCTCGATCCTTGGGCCAAGAATTTCGAGAAAAAATTTATTATTTTGCAGGGACACGTAATTGTCTATCTATTCTGTGTCAGAAAAGAGTCTATTTTAGCGCTTCCCGACCCCTTTAACCTACCATCCATGCAGATCTGCGCAGAAAATTTTCGGCATAATCCATGAAATTGGTAGCCCAAGGTGTTCTCCACGGCGAGCACTCTAAAAAAGCTCTAAACGGGCAGTTCACCTTACCTCGTCAACGTAAATCCAGCTGCCAGTGCTAGCAAAAATTCGGTAAATGTTGAACTTAAATAAGTGCGTTGAACAGCGTTTTGTTCGAGATTCCCTTACCATCCCAAAATCACAGAGTAGCTGCGAAAAGACTTGGCGGTGCAGAATATAATCAGATAGAGCAGGGTTCCGTTAAATAAAACCGATAGTGTATCGATGACGATATGCGAGTCGATGAGAATAGCTGCTCGAAAAGCAGTAAAAGGCGGTGATTCCATGTTTTCAATAATTCTGAAAGGTGTAATATGGCAAAAGTCGAGAATGAAGTACGAAATTAAGCTTGAACTCGATAGCGGTGGTGGGAAAATTCGAGAAGTACTTGTAGCCGACTAACGGAGCAATGCAGTTATTAACGTTCATGAAGCAAGATTAAAAAGAAACCCGCGTGAAAGAAACAGCGAAAGAGTGAGAGTGAGCAAGAGGAGAGAGAGAGAGAGAGAGAGAGAGAGAGAGAGAAAGAGAGAAAGAGAGAAAGAGAGAGAGAGCGAGAGATATGGAGAGAAATGGAGAGAGATAGAGATAGACATGAGGGAGTGAGAGAGCGGGGAGAGAGGGGAGAGAGAGAAAGACAGACAGGAGAAAGAGCGAAAGCAAGCCGAAACTGAAAAAGGATAGGAAAACTGGCGACAGACTGACAGACTGACAAACGAAGGAGGCAAACTGAAACGTTTTGTAAGCCCGGAAGTCAAAATATCCTGAAAAGTGTCAGTGTTTTTATTATTACACCGTATTTACTTAATTTTAAGACTTCCTTATAACTTTGATTTCCTTGACGCACTATTTTCATATCCTTCACCAAGCACATGTCCTTAACAAAATCCGTATTATTGTGCTACATGGAAAAAGGGCATTTAGTTAGTGATGGCTACGAAAAGTCAGACTTCGCGTTTTACACGCGTCAATAATGCTGGGAATACGGTGGTCGTAGCGAGGGGGGGATGAATAGGCGGAAATTGGGTGTGAAGTGAAAATAACAGAGTTTTTCTTGGAAAGTCATTTGGCTGGGTTTGATATAAGTGATTTTACGCGTGACCTAAAATGTACCAGACGTATCTGGTAGAGTTGGACAAGTCAGGACTCGAGAAAATTGAAAAAGAATCTGGAAAGTGGAATTTGAAGCCCTTTGAAGTAAGTGCCTAAAACGTAGTTTGGATTCGGGAAGAGAATCCTTAGAAGACCTTGGGGCCTTGGGCCATCGAGACAGGATTAATTATTCATCAGCTTCACGGCTTTCCCCAAATAATGGCAAGAAGGAGGGAGCGGGGGCTGCCCCCTTTCCTGGTCATCGACCTATCGAAATTTCCCCGAAGTCGTTCGGATTTTCAGACACGAAACTTCTTCTTACTCTCTCGTTCTCTTTCTCCCACTTCCCCCCCTCTCTCTCGCTCTCTCGCTTTCTCTCTTTCTTTCGCTATCTCTCACTCTCGCTCTCTCTCCCTCCCTCTCTCCCTCGCTCTCTCTCTTTCTCTCTCTCGCTCTCTATCTCAACCCTAGCTATCTCTCGCCCGCCTTCTGTCTCTCTCGGGCGCTCTTGCTCGCTCCATATACTTACTTAAATCTTAATTTTTCGTTACATTGATGTTACATAAAGATATTTATTTCTCTATCTTTCGCAAAATTTATATCCCTCCAGCCGCCTGTTGATGCGATGCCGAGGGCTTACTCGTCGCCGAATTTGTCGCCTCGCTGTAGATCCTCGTCGTTTCCACCTCTCTTCCCAGAATTTTGCCGAGCACGAGCTTTTCGACTTGTTTTCGGTATGGAGTCACGCAGAAGATGGTGATGATTGGGTTCAACGTGCTCGACTAAAAACAGATTTTTCGAAAAATTTTCGCGTTCTTACCAAGGAAACAAAAATGAAGAGCAGCTCCTCGAGGTAGAAAAGGCTGCTGTGACCTCTAAAAAAGTCTAATGAGTATCAGAAGGCCGAGGTTGAGCTTAAAAATGGCCTCTGCTAGCTTGCCTTCCTCCTAGACCACATTAAAACCTTACGGTAGCTGATATTGTATCCAGAAATGTTCGAATAATTGGCTGATGGCGAGGAGAGGGGTGAAGAGTTGGAAGGTTACTGCCTAAATAAAAGCCCATTAAATTTTTATTAAAGGTTTTTGTTGCAACGCAAGTTCTACATAATTCATATTTCTGAAATTTTAATGATCAAAAACGTAGACGGGCCAGCACTCTAGGAATTTTAATAACGCGGAATTAGATAGTGTTCAGGATCAATCGAAGATCTATTCTATTTCCTTTATCGATTAAAATAAGCATGCATAAAAAGTGGTAAATTAAAAACGTCAACTCACGTTTAGTACGCTCCGCTGCGCCTTTTTCGCCCTGCCGCTCATCCCGCTGTCTTTGTCCAAGTGACGCAGACTTCGGAATCGGCAGTAAATGGATATCATATAGGCTGGGATGATCGGTGCGCAAATCCATAAGGAGAGGGCTAGGTTACTGAAAAAAATTGAATTCATCGATAGCCAAAATTTTATGAAAAGTATAAAAAGCTTGGAAACTCAAAAATCCGTGATTTTGGCGAGTATCAGAAAAGCTTCTTTTAAATAAATTGTAATTTAATAAATAAAAATAAAAAATAAAAAATGTTACATACAATAAAAATTGATTCAAGCAATTTTTAGAGCTTCGATACTTTCAAATACTGCGTTGTTTCGAACTGCCTACGTATTGCGACTTATCACAATTTTCTAAACGTTCGGAAAAATGGAACAAATTTGTGTCAGTAGAGAATATGCGAATTTGGTACCTTTTTTAATATTGAAAATGACGCTATTATGTGCTTCAATTAAACAGTTTCAAGTCTAAAACTCACTACTGCGTCGTCATATCCTCATAACCCATTATCACGGCAATTTCGGGATCGTCTGGGTACAGGGAGCCGTTTTTCTTCGTCGCCAAGATTTTGCGGATGACTTCCGGCGGGCTCGTCCCTTTTGCGAACCCCACCTGCGCAAAACATAGATGTTTAATGAGGGGTCAGCTTCCTCCTACCATGCCTACGGCAGCTGGAATGTACAACACCAGACAATAGAGAAACACGCGCAGCTTCTTGCGTGATTCGTTTTTGATGACGAGGTAGCGGTACCTAAAGTTAGGACTAGCGAATTCTCACAACGCGAGAGGCGAGAGATAGAGAGAGAGGGAGGGAGAGAGAGGGCGAGATGAGATAAATCAATCATCGTAAAATTGAACCAAATAACCTACCAAAACGCGAGCGGCAATAAAGTGTAGATGAACGAAAAGCAGTGCAAGATGACGGCGAGGCCTAATTGGAGCTTGAATACTGTTATCACCATTAAAATCGTAGTTTCCGGATATTTAATAAATTATTATTTGATCTATTTTACATCTATTATAGATCACCTACTTCATTATACTACTAGTAAACAATTTTTGAAAATCCGAAAAATTCATGTTTTCAGCTTTTTAGCGTTTTGAAGCAGGATTTTTTGTTTTTAACATTTTATCAGCCATGATTAAGTCGAGACTGTGTTATTGCAAACTTATATAAAATTTTAAAACTTTTAAGCGAAGCCGGAAACAGTTAACCTACCATTAATGCAGCTTTCCGCTGAGGTACTGCGACAAGTGCCGTGAAATTGGTAGACTAGCGTGTAGCCGACTGGTATCGACCTTAAAGTACACATTTGTATCATACCTTTCAAGGTTAGATTTTATTGTTTTCTCAAAATTTATTAAAATTTGATTAAATTCTGAAATTAGGAAAATGTCGATAGAAACTCTTACCTAGCCACCGTAAACCCGCCGGCGAAACCCAACACAAAATCCGCCAGCGTCATGCTAAAAACATCGTTTTATCAAATTTCAGGTTCGTACTATTAAAAGTTATTTAGTAAAAACTTACAATCCTAGTATAATGGAGTAGCTTCGAAAGCTCTTCTTCGTGAAAACCACGATCAAAAACAGTAGCGGTCCGTTGAACAACACGGAACAGATGTCGAGGGCCGTGTGGAGATTGTTCATTATTGTAGCGCGTGTCGGGGTAAAGGGTAGGTCCGGCATGGCGCTGGAATAAATTGATTGGCACGGGGACACCCTTGGAACTTCAAGGAGGAGGGGGGATGAACAATTTTATAAAATCAACTTAAAAAATTCGATCTGGCGTCAAATACCAGATTGGATGATTTAATTTGAGCATTGGTGTAAGAAAGCCCTGAAAAGCGAGCTGATACGGTAGCCAGATAAAGTACCACCGGATAAAAATTGGTTTTAAAAATCAAAATTTATTTTCAAGGAAACACACATCAACTACTAGATTTGATTAACGCCATTTGAAAGTGCACCGTAAATTGGGTTAGATGTTTTAATTTGAGCTTTGAGCTCAACACAGCAGAAAAAACTATGGTAGTCTCCGACGGATACGGTAAGAGCGGGAAAATTTCAATCTTGTACTCCGTTTTAGGTGAACTCAATACGACGACTCTGCAAGATTGAGGTATTTTAGGTTTGCGACATCGCTTCTCTACAGGGTGTCCCAAAAAAACCCCCCTCGGCATTTGGCCGTCTTCTATCCCATCGGGATCAAATTTTTGCCAGTGATGGGGACCCATAAAAACTATGTGCAGCCAAATTTTCTAAGCAAAATACTATAAAACAAAAAAGTGATCGCTAAAAAACTGATTTTTGGGAAACGCTAGTACCAATTTTTCGCTATGTTTTCGCAATTAGCATGCCGATTTTGAGTAATTTTCCCAAAAGTCGTCATTTTCGGGTCCGTTTCTGTTCGTTTTGATAATAAAAATTGATGGAAAGTCCCGTTTTTGACGTAATTTTCGTAAATCAAAAAATTCCTCCGGGTGGAAAAAAGTGCCCTCTTCAGTTTTGCTAAACATTTCGAGGCCCTAATCCATCAAAATCCTAGTGAAATCGGCAAAATAAACCTTAATTTCAATTTAACTTTTTTGTCTTACAATATTTTGCTTAAAAAATTCGGCTGCACATAGTTTTTATGGGTCCCCATCACTGGTAAAAATTTGGCCCCGATCGGATAGAAGGCGCCCAAATGCCGAGGGGGGGGGTTTTGGGACACACTGTACACTAAAAAAGTAAAAAAAGGAAAATGAAGAGTTACTTTTCCAAAGACGCTGCCTACGGTAGCCAGCGAAGCATTAGCGAACAAACAATGCCGAGAAACCGCGCTAAATCGAATGATCATTCGGCTCGCCTGTGATTTATCCGATTCTGTAACTGGACACTCATTCTCCCGAGGGAGATGTCCCGAACGGATTCATAGTTCATTTGCGGGGGTTGTATCAGCTCGATGCTCAATTCAAGAAAAGACACATTTTAATAAAAAAGTTTCCAAAATTTCGGGCTGCGGATTTTCATCGGTTTGGGTCCTGGAATTTGCTGCTATGTAGCCGGTAAAAAAGGGTTCAGAGAAACGATGATTGCAAGAGGAACTGCTGGAAGACGCTCTCTCTCTTTCTCTCTCTCTCTCTCTTTCTCTCTCTTGAATTGGAGACATTATTCTCATCCCACATTTTTTCCATTAATTTGGGACCCAAAACTTGAAATTATAGTATTGGAACAGCCGACAGCAAAAAAAAGACAGAAACCCGGGTTTCAATCACAACTTCAAGCCCCCGAGCGGAACCACTAACTTTAAGTACGGTATCCAAGGCGAGAATAAACTTCCAAAGAATCCAAATAAATTTCTAAAATCCAAAAAATCGTTAACAAAAATTTAAACAATGCGAAAATTACAGCATGCAACTGGATGCATCGTAATAGAAGGATGATTTAGAGCCGGTTTCAGGTTTTGAGCAGGCCTAACCTGTATAAAAGCCTAAAAAATCATGAGTCACTTGCAAAAAAACTTTCTGACGATTTTCTGCAACAAAAAACGGGCATAAATCTGCTGAAAAACGGAGATCGCCAAATCGGGCGGGCGTGGGACACCTGGGAAATGGCGAGATTGGCACCCGCGGCGATCCAATTAGCGCCGCCGGCGCGCAGGTGATTCGACCTCCCCCTCTCGCTTTGAACTTATGTTTCTCACATATATTTAATGAGGGCGCAAACGTCGCGGGGTAGGTGATAGGCGTTCCGAGTCGTTCGACAGCAAATGAAAAAATGGGCTGGGGGAATGGGATCGGCGCACTACATCCGTGATGGGATTTTCGACAGGGTTTAGAGTTCACTTTTTGGGATACTGTAGGGGGTATGGGGGCGTTAATGTATCTCATTTCATAAAGCAAAAAAAATTAAGAGCAGTTGCCGGCTTTAAAGGAATCATAAAGGCCAATGTGAACTGGAATAAAACCGTCAACTGGCCGGAAATGGTTCTCCTGGGCCTCATCCGGTTTTAACATGGCGTAACTGGTTGGATTTTGCCAAATTCAGACCAGGTTTTGGCAAGAATTGATGCTGACTTATCTATTTTCCGTATACCTTTAATGTACCTCATGGGGAAAGCAAGCAAATTTCCATGTGATTTCCGGTTTGCAAGGAAGGAAGCTAAGAAGCTTGCTTATTGCTATGAATTAGCAACCTCATTATTGTTTATGATTTTTTGGCTGTATTATTATTAGTATTATACAGGGTGGCTGGTAGGTATCCGGAAAATGTAGAGGGCTACAGCGACAAAAGTAAACCCAAATTTAATAATAGCAATTTATTTTTATGATAAGTGGATGCTAAATATTCCTTTTTGTAACAAATTTTCAATGTAGCCCTCATCCGCTTTGCTATCTAATTTAATTTATGACGGCCCGAACATGGCTGTGCGCCGCGGGTATTTTCTAAACAGTTCGTTCCAAATCTTGGTAGATTCTCGACGCGGATAGTTTGTATTGTTGATTTTTATGTTTGGTAGCTCCTGTTTTATGAATCCACACGCAGAAAAATCCCATAGATTCTGATCCGGGCTATTGGTAGGCCAAAGATCCTTCGTCCTAAAATCCCGGATCGCGAAAAATGGCCTGAATCGGAAAACCCAAAAATCCGGTCTCTCAACCAAATCCGGTTCTTAATATGTCAAAATGCTCAGCGCCTGGAGCCATGGCAAGATCAGTTGGGAAAACTTTTCAAAAACATTTCTATCTCATGATATGTAACTTTTAAGTTCGGCGAAAAACGTCCCTGACCGCAAAATCGAAGATTGATTTTGGCGTGCCAAAATTCTAAGCAGGTCAGATGTTTCAGGAACAGTTGTAAAAAACTTTACGGAAGCCATGTGCTATACAATAAAAAAGAAAACAAGTCATAAAACTGAAGGAGCTTTCTTTGTTCGGCAATTTTAACGTCATTCCGGGTACTTATCAGCCACCCTGTATATTAGTGTTTACTCTGGTGGCACGCGACGCGTATGCGCTCTCGCCAGAAAAAAGACTCCATGAGCCCACGGCGCGTCCCGTGTGGCGGGCGAGGGAAAATTGGTAAAAAGGCATCACCAATCTACACCATAACGAGTTTTTATGGTTATCTGCGCCTAGACAAAAATCAGTAGTGAAGGGGAGTCAAAAGCTTGCTAGAAGCGTATGGCTGGAGAGGAAAATCGAAAAGATAAATATATTGAAGCACAGACTGGAATTTTAAAGGTATCTCAATGGGCCGGTCTTTGCGAAGTTTGTTGAGAGGCTCGTCAGCAAATTCTTGGAAGACGTAATCGCTGTGTGAAAAAGTTTCGATGAAAACGGTTTGATTCGAAAGGTGCAAATCCCAGACGTTGAACCCGACACAATGTCCAGATTTTTGCATCGTCTCACCCGTCGCCCACCGGACCATACACCAAAACGTAGATATTTCTCCGGAGAATAGGAAAATTATAAATTCAGCGCAAGAAATCACGAAAAGCAAGAAATAACAACAAAAAATGGGCCATGAAACGGTCGGTGAACCCCCGACCGGACGTGGCAAATCGAGAGGCCGCAAGTTGAATTTTCTCGAGGCCATAATTGCGGCGGGAATTGTGTCAAGAGGAATTGCGTTAAAAGGAATTGCGCGGAATTTGATTTTCGGCTGAGTGAGCTTAGTTGCTGGACCTGGAACGGATTTTTCGCGGGGACCGGAAGGGCTTGTTGCTTGGTGATTTTAGGCTCGTTTTCTTACCGTATTTTTTGCGTTTTAAAAACATGCCAAAAATTAAATACAACCTTACAAAAAAAACTATTGGGGCGAAAATAAATCAATCAAATAAAAACATCAAAAGCAAAAATCATCAGGAAAAATGGCTTCAGAAAATCGTTTTGGTTTTTCCATGAAGATTTGGAAATTATTCGCCTTTATTCTGCGTACACAGTATAAAAACCATTTGTCTATTTATTCTAGAAAAATTAGAAAAAAGGAAATAGTGGGGTAGTTGAATTGCGCCCTAACTTCCCAATGATAATGCAAAAGAACCGGTAAGATCCGCATGTTTTAGCAAAATTAGAGCATTAATAACAATAAAAAAAACACAATAAAAATACAGTTTTTTATGTAGTCTAGAGAACGCCAAAAAATAAATTTAAAACCTAAGAATTTTCTGAAAATATGGATATTTAATGGCTGGGTAAAGAATAATTATTCGAACCGATTTTCGCTATTACCGTAATAGTTTTGCACTTTTTCGAGTGATAGAATATGTTCTGAAAATCTTTTTTGATCAAATGCGCCATGTAGCGCTCCACGCAACTCCAAAGGAATCATCACCTGCCTGGCGCCAATTAGCGTTTCTGAACCCCTATTTCAGCTGCCAAAATTCCGACGAATTTCTTTATTCCCGCTCAAAAAAGCTCATTTGTGTGTTGCAATTTGGAGTCCTTGGTGTGTGAATTCTTCGCCTCGCTGTAGATCCTGCGCGAAAAGTCCTGCTTTCGCCGCCAGAAACAAAGGAGTTTTTGGAGTTCTTTTCGATATGGTAATACGTAGTAGATGGTAATACAAGGGTTCAGCATGCTAGTCTAAAAAGGTTTTAAAGGGACATAGAAGGCATGGTATGGATTTGTTTGGCCATGGATTGCTCTGTTGCTCATGCCAGCGACACACAACGGGCCGTAGCGTTAGTGGGTTTCAAAGTGACAGGCAAGGAACGGCTGTGGATTTTCGACGCGCGTTGCGTGTCGCGGGCCGCCTCGGAGCAAACACAAACAAGAATCGCCATAGCGGCTATTAGTAATTCCTCAAATTTGCATACCATAGCCACCAAGATGAAGACGAGCTCCTCGAGGAAGAAGATGTGCTTGTGGCCTCTGGAAATGGTACATAGAAGCAGACCATGCTTTCTTCAAAAATCAATGCAAGCTTGCCGATGTAAAATGCACCAACTAGATTATCGATTCTGGATTTTAAAGGCACTAGGAAGTCACGCGAGGAAGCCGTGCGCCATTTTATATAGTCAAAGCGCGATGTAGCGTGCCAAACGACTTCCACACTGATTTTAATTTTTGCGGGTTTTCGATATCTATCCAAGCCGAGTGTAGATGCTCAAGCTATTTAGTGCCTTTAAAATCGGGCCCTGAATAACCTTGCTGCATTGCCCTTTGCGTTGGAAGTCGAAAACTCACGGTAATTGGTACTGGATCCAAACAAAAGCCGAGGATTGGCTCATTGATAATAACGGCGTTATCATTTGCAACGTCAGGGCCTGAATTCAGCACTCATTTTATGTGTTCTCTCAAAGAAATTTGGATGTCGTTTTTCGAAATAAAAAGAAAATTATATATAGCGGTGAATAAATCGAGAAATTAGAAAAATCGGCAGGCCGATGCAATTTATACATACTTTGACCAAATTCTCCTGCGCTTTCAGCGTCTTCGCGCTCATCCCGCGGTCCATCTTCAGTTTTTGTAGGATTTGGTAACGATAGTATATCGAAATCGTATACCCCGGCATGATTGGCGCACAGATCCACATGGTGATGGCAATGTTGCTAAAATAAATGATTTTTCGGAGGCTACTATATCCAAGACTGATTATCAAAGCTCGAAAAATTTATAAGACCCATTCAACCTCGTTATTGGCCTCGTAAAATTAATGCCATTTTAGAAATCATGATAAATGTTTCCTAGTAATTCCAAAAACCTGATGCTGCTATTAACACGTAATATGCCTGAAAAAACCTACTAATAAGTCGTCATGTCCTCATATCCAATTAGGGCAGCAATATTCGGATCGTCCGGATAGAGAGATCCGTTTTTCTTGGCGGCCAAGATCTTGTGGATGATTTCGGGAGGACTGGTTCCGGCCGCGAAGCAGACCTGATCGTTGGATATATAAACCATTAAACTTCTAGATTTTACCATAACTAGAAATGCCGGAATGTAGAGAATGAAACAATACAACGTAACTCTTAATGGGCTGCACAAGCCATTTGTCAAGACGCGGTGACGGTACCTTGAAGATAAGGCTTTTCTGAACGAGTTCGAGAGAGAGAGAGAGAGAGAGAGAGAGATAGAGAATGGGAGGGAGCGAGAGATGTATGCAGACTTTTCAAGCTACGAAACATACCAAAATGACAACGGCAGCAGCGTGTAGTTGTAGGCGAAGCAGTGGACGATGACTGCGTGTGCTAAAATGACGTAGCGGATCTGAATTGATGGAAAATCAGCTGTCATCATCGCTTTAAAGAATATTTCGAGCATGGCTTTGCGCTTATTTTTGCGCGGATATCATGCTAAACCCAGCCGACTAGAGTGGCGAATTCTGCGCTCCCAAGCCCCTGAACCCACCATCCATGCAAATCTGGGCTGACAACTTGCGGCATAGACCGTGGAATTGGTAGACGAGCGTATATTCGACTGGTATCGTCCTTAAATTACATTACTATATTTCCCCCACACTTCTTGATTGATTTACCTAGTCATCGTAAATCCAGCCGACAACCCCAGTACAAATTCGGTGAGGGTCGTACTGAAAATTTCAGTTGATGCTCTTTGCCTTTAACGCCCTTACCATCCCAAAATGATCGAGTAGTTGCGAAACGACTTCGTGGTGCAGAATATAATTAGGTACAGTAGCGTTCCATTAAATAACCCGGATGATATATCCATCACCGAGTGTAGATTCGTCATTAGTGCGGCGCGGAAT